TCTCCCCTCCTCCCCCTTCCCATCCCCCCTCTTCCCCTCTCCTCCAGGTCACCAGTTTTCAGTTATCACGTAATTTTGCCTCTTTCCGCTCTGACGGTTTCCTGATGAGGGCCGGTGGCCCAGGGCTGCAGGCCCTGTCCCTCCAGGTGGCAGGAGCACGGCTGAGGGTCGGAGTGTGACAGGGCCAGGCCTTCTCAGGGAGGGCAGTGCTCAGACTCGCGGTGAACGTGTGGGCCGTAGTTGGTGGGGAAGGGACAGCGCGGCTGAGACGGCCAACACCAGCAACGGAAGCCGTCCGTAAATGTGGAATGATTATTGAGTGACCTTGGAGGATTTCAAGCAAGGGAAGGATGTGAAGCTGTGTTTGGGGACTAAGGAGTGGGCACAGCTTTCCGCTCGAGGCCGTCCACCGGCACTTGTCGTGCACCTGCTGTGTGCGGGGCTCTGGACCCCAGCGCTGCCTTCGCCTGAGTTCTGGAAGCAGAGACCGGGCTCTGAGCCTGGCTGTGCAGCCTCAGGCACGGCCCCCAGCCTCTCTGAGCTGCGGTCTGCACATCTGTGACACGGGGATGCAGGGAGGGCACTGAGACCCAGCGGAGGCCCGTGTTGCCCAACATGGGCGCTCGGAGTAAGTGTATTTACTACTGTTAGTGGAGAAACGATTTCTGAATTAGCAACCGCATCTGATTATTTATGCTCCGGGCACAAAATAGATTCCCTGATGCCTTTGCTTCGCCTTTGACCCATGCGCTGGCTGCTGGGGGGTGGCCGGGGGCTCTCGTGTCCCCTACTCCGTCAGCCCCACACGTCCTGGGAAGCGTACAGGCGGGGATCAGCCAGGCAAGGCCCCTCTTGTCCGCTTCTACCCATCCCACCTGTCCAAGGGTGCAGAAGTCCTGCATATACGTAGGGTTTTCAAAACTTGTGTCCAAAGTCCACATAACATAGGGGCAGCCTGGGTGGCTCAGTCAGCCGAGCACCCGACTCTTAATCTCGGCTCGGGTCCTGATGTCACTGTTCACGGGTTCGAGCCCCGAGTCGGGCTCTGCGCTGGCAGTGCGGAGCCTGCTTGGGGTTCTCTCTCACTCCTTCTCCCTCTGCCCCTCCCCTGCTCACACACTCTCTCTCTCTCCCTCTCAAAATAAATAAACCTAAACAATTTTTTTGAATAAATTTAAAAAAAAAAAGGATGTAACTCGGAGGCGTTCTAGTACATTCACAATGCTGTGTGACCGTCACCTCTCTCCGGTTGCCACACTTTGTCAACACGCCTCTCAAGCAGGCAGGCGCTCCCCGGGCCCCCTCCCTGCAGCCCCGGGCGACCACTGGTCTATCTTCTGTCCCTGGGGATTTACACCTGTCTTCAGGTCTTGGGGGCAAATACCAAGCAGTGGAATTGTTGGGTCCGAGGGGATTTTTGAGGCTCTTCCTGACGGCTGCCCACGTGGCCGCCGCCTTTTACGTTCCCGTCGGTGCCACACAGTTTCCCCACATCCTGCCAACACCTGTCATTTTCTGTTGTTGTGACTGAAGCTGTCTCAGCGGCCGTGTGGTGGCACGTCACTGGCTTCGGTTTGCGTTTCTCTCGCGAGCGAGCGGGAGTTAGAACCTCCTCGTGTGCTGGTTGGCCGTTTATGGCTCTTGGGAGAAATAGCTATTCGAGTCCCTTGAGCATTTTGGACTTGGACTGCCTTTCTGTTACTAAGGTGGAGGAGCTCTTTTGGATGTAATCTTTGAGTATTCACTCATTTGTTCATCCATTTTGCCATTCTGCAAACACTCAGGGACAGCTACAGGGGGAGCCCCCTGCCCCCTCCCCCCGGCCCACCAAGCCCCAGATTTAGCTCTGACCTGGCCCTGCTTGTGGTCTGCTGGGAAGGCTGGATGTGGAAACAGCCACTGTGAGCCCGTGGGGGGCGGGTGGGGGGTTGTTACTCGAGAGACAATGCCCACCACCTGCTTTCTCAGTGCCTGGGGGCCAAGGGGTGTGAGCTCAGGGGGCTTTTCCACTTGGGCACAAGGCTAGCAGAGTTTGCCAGAAAGATAAAGGCAGAGAGACCGGCACAGGCAGGCATGGCAGGGCGGTCGGAGGTCGGATCCCGGGGGGCCTGTGATTCTACACCAAGGAGCCTAGGGAGCTGTGGATGGTCCCTGAGCAGGGGAGTGACATGGCCAGACCTGGGTGCTGGCAGGGGGGCTTTGGGGGCTCCTGGAGACGGGAGACCAGGGCTGCAACATCTGCGTCGGCCCCTGGGATCCCCCCTCGGTCCACTGGGGATCCCCCCCCGCCTCCAATTCAGAACCCATTTGTCCAAGCTCCTACCCCCAGCAGGGTTCTTAACCCAGGCAGTGAGCTTTGCAGCCTGGAGTCTGCTGGCAGACTTTGGGACTGGGGAGCTGGCTTTTAGCATCCGGGATCCAGAGCGGGCTCCTGCCCGAGGCCTGGGGGCTGGTTCCCATCCATCTCATTTCCCCGGGTCGGTTTTCTGAGCATCTACAATTACTTTGGGCTGAACTCCCCGGATTCCAGCCCGCTCCCAGCCCAACCCGCCCAGATGATCTTCCTCCATGCCAGCCTCGGGCATTTCTGCCCATTGTGCCCGTGGGAGACCCAGGGGGGTCTTGGCCAGATTAGTGAGTGGGGCGGGCGGGCCGTGGGGATTGAGTGTCGCCGGGGCACTCTGGCTACAGCACGTGCTGCGGACTCATGCCACACGGGGACTTTCCCAGCTGGCTGTGGGTGCCTGGCTGCCCTGGAAAAACACTGACTCGTTTCTCTCAAGAAAGGGGCCGGCAGCCAGTGGGGAGGAGGAGGGAACTCAGTGGCGCTAGGAGGCCAAGGCCAGGGACATCAGCTTTGGGGAGCCCCTGGTGGTCTCCCTCATTCCCACACTTTGCCCCTCGCTAAGCAGGCCTGGTCTGCCGTCTGGAAGCTGGATGCCACTTTGAAACTCCGCCGTTGCCCAAAGGTCTGCCAAGATCACCCCCACCTCCTTCCAGCTTGCCCGCCCTCCTCCTCCGGGCGCTCGAAACCAAATAATGAGTTTTCCAGCCTCTGCGGGAGAACAGTTCGGGGGCCGCTCCGAAAGCTATACAAACTGCCACGGACAGGGGCTCAGACCAAAGCTTACACGCCCATGTTCGCGGCGGTGCTGTTCGCGGTTGCCGAGAGGTGGGGAGGAACCCCGCGTCCGCTACCTGGTGCCTGGATCCGTGCAGGGTGGTCCCTGCTTACGATGGAGACGGATTCAGCTATGAAAGGGCCCTGGCACCTGCTGCAAGGGGGCTGAAGCCGGGAAACAGGATGCCAAGTGAAAGGAACCGGCCACAAAAGGTCACACAGCGTGTGATGCCATCGATACGAAAAGTCCAGAATATGCAAATCCACAGGCACCGAAAACAGATTGGTGGTTTCAGAACCTGGGAGAATAGAATAAGGAGTGACTGCCCAGGGGACTTGGGGTTTCTCTTCGGGGGCGGTGAAAACGTCTGGGAACACAGTAGGGGTGGTGCCTGCATGGCTCACCACTGCTGAACTGACTGCACACTTTAAAATGGGTAACGTGGGGCGCCTGGGTGGCGCAGTCGGTTAAGCGCCCGACTTCAGCCAGGTCACGATCTCGCAGTCCGTGAGTTCGAGCCCCGCGTCGGGCTCTGGGCTGATAGCTCGGAACCTGGAGCCTGTTTCCGATTCTGTGTCTCCCTCTCTCTCTGCCCCTCCCCAGTTCATGCTCTGTCTCTCTCTGTCCCCAAAATAAATAAAAAACGTTGAAAAAAAATTAAAAAAATAAAATAAAATGGGTAACGTTGGCGCCTGGGGGGCTCAGTCGGTTGGGCGTCCGACTTCGGCTCGGGTCACGATCTCGCGGCTTGTGGGTTCGAGCCCCGCGTCGGGCTCCGTGCGGACGGCTCGGAGCCCGGAGCCTGCTTCGGATTCTGTGTCTCCCTCTCTCTCTGCCCACCACCCCCCCCCCACCACACCCTGTCTCTCCCTCCTTCAAAAATAAATAAACATTAAAACAATTTTTTTTTAAATGGGCATTATGTGGAGTGGGTGCCACCTCCTACAACAAACACACGGATAAACGCCTCAAGTTAGGAGAGAGTGAGCCCAGCAAGTGCCCTCCTGCCCCAGGCCTCAGTTCCTGGCGGGTGCCAGGTTAATTCCACAGCAGCCTCAGGGGGCCACCGGTGGGGGGGCAGGGATACGATGTTGCAGTAAAGCAGCCCCACCCAGCCCAGCACACGATAGGGGCTCAATTCACATCAGCTCCTGGTCCCTCTCCTGAATCTACCCAGTGATCCAGAAGCGAGAGGACAGTCTTTCTCCACGAGGCCGTCTGGTCTGAGCCCCTGTGGTGGTGGTAGGGTGGTAGGAGTAGATGCTTTATACTCCCATTTCATGGACGTGGATACTGAGGCTCAGAGAGGCAGCGTGCCTTCCCAGGACTATAGATGGGCTGTAAATGGAGTCAGGAGCCTATGGGTTTGGCTCCCAGCAGGGCCACCCGGCTCAGCAGCCTGCCTGGCCCAGGAACCCCAGGGGGAGCCCAGGGCGTGCGAGTAGTGGGGAAGTCTGATGGTCGGCAGTTGGGGAAGCTTCGGACAGTTCGGAGCTGATGGCTGTCAAATCCCAGGCGTGAAGTTCTCGGACCTGAAGGGTCTGTGTGTCTGGTTCAGAGGCATGGAGAGCTGTGGTTCTTACGTTCTGGGTGACCGTTGGTTCCTGGATTTGTGACCCTGGTTCCCGTGGTCCTGAGGCTGAGAAGGCATGGGCGCGAGTGCCTTTTCAGGCTGGGATCACGCCTTGTGGTCAACGGGAAATGGCTCGTCCGGGGCAGGGATCTGTGTTTGGCTGCCTGGTGGGCACAGCTTGGCCCACGGTGGGCGCCCAGAACCCACTGGCTGGTGGCAGAGACTGAGGGAGGCAGGGCGGCAGGCAGAGGGCTCGGGGCCCCGCGCAGCCACTCACCTGCCCGTGTCCTCTCCCGTCTCTGCAGAGCGCTGTCGTCCGTCGTGGCCCTGGGAGCCAACATCATCTGCAACAAGATTCCTGGCTTGGCCCCACGGCAGCGTGCCATCTGCCAGAGCCGGCCCGATGCCATCATCGTGATCGGGGAGGGGGCGCAGATGGGCATCAACGAGTGCCAGTACCAATTCCGCTTCGGACGCTGGAACTGCTCCGCCCTGGGCGAGAAGACTGTCTTCGGGCAAGAGCTCCGAGTAGGTAAGGGTGCCTCCGGGCTTGCGGGGACCCCCCCCCCACTGTCAGGGCTTCAGGGCCACCCAAGGCCAGGCGAGGCCGGCCGGTGTCTTTGCGACGGGAGCTCCCTCTGCGCCCTGCTCTGCGCCTGGCCTGGGGGGGGGGCAGGGGCTCGGGACCCCAGGGTCCCGTGTGCGCGGGCGAGGGACCCCTCGCTGGGCTGTGGGGCCGGAGGGCGTCGTTCCCGCGAGGCTGTGAGCCGGCCGGCCGTGGCAGGCGGTGCAAGCGGTTAGAGCCGCATCCCGCTCGTGCGGATGCTGTGTGGACCTAGGCACACCCCCTGCCTCGGTTCTGTCCATCTGGAATGGGACAGCAGGAGTTCCCGCGTGGCGTCTGGGGGCAGGGGGCTGAGGCGAATGGTACCGTTTGTGCGGGAGGAATTTCGGGCAGAGGATGCTGTACAGGCACGTGTGGGAGCACCAAGGGAGTCTGCCAGGCTGCGGGGGAGGCTGGGCGGGCAGGGCGGGTGGAGTCGGGCCGAGGAAGGGGTCGCGCCTCCCAAGTCTGTGGGCAGTCCCGCGGGTGCCATCTCACGTCCTCACAGTCCTGAGGGGGCTCTGTGGTGCCCATTTTACAGGGAAGGAGACTGAGGCCCAGGGAAGGGCTTAAAGGGAGACGTGGGACCTCCAGAGCCCGACCTAGATCAGAAACCGGCTGTGTGACCCTGGGCCTGGCGCTCGGGACCTCAGAGCCCTTATTTGCGACACGAGCTCCGAGCGGGCGGGCCCTCCCCTGGCCCCCCTCTGGGGCTTACGTCCCGTGGGTTCGATACACAGCTGTCGAACAGGCGAGGGTGCGGAGGTGATGCAACCTGCCTTCCAGGAGGGGCAGATGGGGGAGCGATAACTTGGGGGGCACAGCGCCAGACATGCAGGGGGGCCCTGTTATTTCAGACCCCAGCCTGCAGGCTCAGCACGTCCTTCCGATCCCAGTGGGCCGAGGAGCCACAGCTGCCGGGACCCGGGCCAGAGCCAAGCCGTGCAGGGCTTGGAGCGCCCGGCGTAGGGCTGGGGGTGGCGCAGGGGAAAGCCCCCGGGGCCCCTTTGTGGTGAGCAGCCTGTGGGTGGCACCTGGCACAGGCAGGAGGGTGGCACCACCCCCTCCCTGGGGCCCCACCACCCAAGTGCAGCTCCCGGCCCGTTGGGGAGGGAGGAGTGCCCCGCCCATCCCCCCCGCAGTGGGGAGGGCGTCGGCCCCGGGACCTGCTTTGTGCTAGGTGCTGCTTGCCTATCTGGCTCCCCACCCCCCCCATAGGTGCCTCCTTGCCTATCTGGCCCCCCATCTCCCCACCAGGTGCCCCTTGCCTATCTGGCCCCCTGCCCCCCCCCCACGTGCCTGCTTGCCTATTTGGCCCCCCATCCCCCCGCCAGGTGCCCGCTTGCCTATCTGGCCCCCTCTGCCCCCCGCCCAGGTGCCTCCTTGCCTATTTGGCCCCCCACCCCCCTCCCCGAGACTCCAGGCTCCAAGGTGGCTGTGAGCACCGCCCCCCCTCCCCGCACAGCCGAGCTGGGTGGTTGCCTGCGGCCACAAGGTCTGTGCTCGGCAGAGCTGGGTTCAGATCCAGGTTCTCATCCACCACCCTGTTAATCCTCACTTCTTCACTGTGCAGAGACGGGCACAGGAGATGTTCCTGGGGCTTGGACTTCCTTTGGGGCCACCAGACACAGGCAGTGACGGGCACGTGGCTTCTTCTCAGGTCAGGTGCCGGGCGGGGGAGCTCACTGGCGATGCACTACAAATGCCCATATAAAGGCCACGGGGAGCGACGTTGGCCCCAGCAGTGACCCGGGCCCCCCCCCCCCCATAGCTCACACTGTCAGTGCCCACCCGGGTGACCTTTACTGGCCGTCACGTGTCCCCTGGATCACGGCTAACAGCTCATAGCTGTTCCTTCTCGGAGGCCAGCCCTTGGTCCAACAGGAGCCCGCGAGGGTTTGCAATCACTTCGCCCCTGGGGCTGCTCACGGGGGGCCATCCAGCAAGGGGGACCCATGGGAACCTCTGGCCCGACATGCTCAGCATCTTGTTGCCTAAGTCTGCCGTCCCCAGCCTTCCCCCTGACCTGCGCACCTGTCGTCTCTGCAGAAACCTGGCGTTTCCCCGTCCATTCCTCCACCCTGCCCCACGGCCACTGTGGGGCCTGCCTCGCTGGCCTTCCCCTGGCAACCGTCAGTTCCTCCTCCTGCCTCCCCTCCAGCTCTGGTCATGCCATGTCACTCCCTTCCTCCAAAACCTGCAGTAGCTCCCTATTGCCCAGGATAAAATTAACTCCTTAGCTTGGAGTCTGAGTGGCCCCTGTCTTACATCACCCTCACCTCCCCGCATCCCTTCTAGAAACCAGAGCTTCAGCCTGGCTCACTTCCTCCTCTTCCCAGAGCGTGCCAACCCTTTCCTCCTCTGGGACTTTGCCCCCACTGCCCGTAGCCCTGGAAGGCCCTTCCCCTCTGCTTGCGTCTGGTTTCCCTGGAGAACGCCCTCTCACCCCTCCCTGGCTTTTCCTGTCCACAGCCCGGCCACGCTCACGTCCTGGGGCTTTGTCCTCAGAGCCTGTCAGCCCTGGGCCTGCTCAGCGCCTGCCTCAGGCTCTCCCTTCGCTCTGCCCCAGGGGTGGGAGGGGTGGGCTTCCTACCAGCGGGGCTGAGGCCTCTCGCCCTCGGCCCTCCCCGGCTCCAGGCTGCGCCTTGCGAAGGCCCAGCTCCCTTTTCAGCCAGGAGGGCTCGGCTGCTGGGAGTCACGAGCAGGAAGCGGGGCCGGGTGGCAAAGCCAGCCCATGTCAGAGGCATGCGGCTGCCCCGGGCACGAGATGGGAGACGGGCCATGAGTTGGCAGGCAGCCGGGGGCACTCGTGGGAGCAGCCACTCAAGCGGTGCCAATTAATGATTGGCCCCAAGGGGGTGGGTGGGACGGCCCCCTTCAGGCCTTGCCTGTGACCTTGGGCCATGCCTAAATCTTGAGAGCTGAAGGGAAACCCCTTAATAGGCAAATGAACCCCTGTGCCAAGGTCCCATCCCTTCTCCAGCACCTGGTGCCGTTGCTTGTATACCTCCAGGGACGAGGAGCTCACTACTCGCTACTAGATAGGTCTTTCTTACAATGCCACTGCCCCGGTTTCAGCCTGGGACCCTCCAGGTGCCTCTGTTGCTCTGCTCCCTTCAGGGAGTCAGGACCCACACGTGGTGTCACCTCATGTCTGGGGGCCTCCATCCTCTGGCAGCCCAAGCCCACCCCAGGCCTATTTCCTCAGTGATCAAGCGATGCTTGTGGCCTGGCCTCTTCTGTTAACTGGCAATGAGCTTGGGGGGTGGTGCGGATGGGGTAGGGGACACCACGCGAGGGTTGTGGGGGGAGCCTTGTATTCCGGGGATGCTTGTTAGAAAGTTGGGCTCCTGGTGACCCCGGGCAAGGCAGGGCCTCTCTCACAGGCAAGCACCGTAGTCGAGTCGGGACTGTTGACAAGGGCTCGCCTGACAGGGTGACGGTAAGCTGAGACCCAGGAGAGAATCAGAGTGACCCAGACTGGCCTGGGGTGAGCACGGGGAAGGCGGTTCCGGGCGGAGGGAACAGCAAGTGCCAAGGCACAGAGGCCACAAAGGGGATGGTATTTCCCAGGGACGCCGGGAGGGTGAACCAGAGGGTGGGGAGACCCGAGGCTAAAGGAGGGGACAGGCTGGGTGGGGCGCAGTGAACCCGAGGGCCCCACAGAAGGCACGGAAGTCTCTGAGCAGGAGAGGGACTTCCCTCGAACCCTGGCTCCCTCCAGCCACTGCCCCACCCCCAGCCTGAGCCCGGAGCCCCTCGGGACCCGCGGGCACAGGGCATGGTGGCCGCGGCTGTGTGCGCTCCAGCCCCCGCACCCCACCCCCCCAGCTGCCATGGAACACTGAATCGCGCCCATCATGTGCAGCCTCAGACATGACCAGGCATAGGGGCCGCCCCTAATCCTGGCTCACGTGCTGCCTGGGGCTGGCAGCTTGCTTTGCGGTAGGGACTCAGCAAAGGCCGTCGGCTCCTGGACAGTCCGAGGGGGCGAAGTGACTTACCTCTGACAGACGAGGGTCTCTAGGCTTCCAAATCAGCCACTGGCAGGATCCTTGGAGAAGAGGCTGACCTCCAGGCCCCCCCTTGCCTGGGGTGCTGCTGACCAGGCCCAGGGGGAGTTGTGACATTGGTTCCCAGGAGGGACGAGGGCTCCCGGGCCGCCGCTGGCCGGGAGCCCTGGAAATAGGGTGCGTGCCAACCGCGATGTGCCATATGTGTGAGATACACGACAGATTTTGGAGACTTCAAAAGAAAAAGCAAGTAAACTGCCTCTTTAATACTCTCTGCAATGATCACATGATACAGTGGTGATCCTTGGATATATTGGCTAAATAAACTCAGTCACTAAAACGAAGTCCACCCCGTTATTCTCACTCTTCTTAAGTGACCTGTGGGGCTTCCGGGAGATTTCTGCTGGGCGGCCCTGCTCTCAACTGCACACCTGTCAGCGGCACGACAGTCCCCCGGGGTCAGCGGGGCAGGCCCGGACAGGTGAACCCAGATCTGACCGTCTCCTCCCAGGAGAGTGTCCTTCATCTCGGGGTTGGGGGGGTGCCGGGAGGTGGTGGCGGTCCGAGGGCAGAAGGTCACTCGTCACCTGCTTCCTAGGGTGGCGCAGGAGTGTGAGGTTGGCAGCCCCTGGTGTTGAGCCTGCATGCATTGAGTGCCTGCTGTATGCCACTTCTGGGGCGGGGCGCCGGGAGGCACAGTGAAGGCCACCAGCCCCGCTCCTGGAAACTCGTGCCCAGGCTGCTTCTCGGGTCCCGTGGTGCAACCCGGGGCACAGACTCGTGCTCTCTAGGTCTGTTTACCCGCCCGTTCCAGGGGCTGAGGCTGGGGTCAGGCCTCTGCCAAGACTTGGGGGTCTCTCTTCAGAACGGGGGGCAGGAAAGCCCTCTACTTCCTCAGTGCTCGTGCTGGGGTTC